GACGGAGCAGATGGAGTGAGGGATGGAGAGAGAAAGAGAGAGAGGGACGGAGCAGATGGAGTGAGGGATGAAGAGAGAAAGAGAGAGGGACGGAGCAGATGGAGTGAGAGATGGAGAGAGAGAGAGAGGGACGGAGCAGATGGAGTTAGGGATGGAGAGAGAAAGTGAGAGAGGGACAGAGCAGATGGAGTGAGGGATGGAGAGAGAGAGAGAGAGGGACGGAGCAGATGGAGTGAGGGATGGAGAGAGAGAGAGAGAGAGGGACGGAGCAGATGGAGTGAGGGATGGAGAGAGAAAGAGAGATAGGGATGGAGCAGATGGAGTGAGGGATGGAGAGAGAAAGAGAGAGAGGGACAGAGCAGATGGAGTGAGGGATGGAGAGAGAGAGAGAGAGAGGGACGGAGCAGATGGAGTTAGGGATGGAGAGAGAAAGAGAGGGATGGAGCAGATGGAGTGAGGGATGGAGAGAGAACGAGAGAGAGAGAGAGAGAGAGAGAGAGAGACGGAGCAGATGGAGTGAGGGATGGAGAGAGAGAGAGAGAGAGGGACGGAACAGATGGAGTGAGGGATGGAGAGAGAAAGAGAGAGAGGGATGGAGCAGATGGAGTGAGGGATGGAGAGAGAAAGAGAGGGACAGAGCAGATGGAGTGAGGGATGGAGAGAGAGAGAGAGAGAGGGACGGAGCAGATGGAGTGAGGGATGGAGAGAGAGAGAGGGATGGAGCAGATAGAGTGAGGGATGGAGAGAGAAAGAGAGAGAGGGATGGAGCAGATGGAGTGAGGGATGGAGAGAGAATGAGAGAGAGGGACGGAGCAGATGGAGTGAGGGATGGAGAGAGAATGAGAGAGAGGGACGGAGCAGATGGAGTGAGGGATGGAGAGAGAGAGAGAGAGAGGGATGGAGCAGATGGAGTGAGGGATGGAGAGAGAAGGAGACAAGGATGGAGAGAGAGGAAGGAGTACCCATCTGCTTGGCATCCAAGGCAGATCCAGATGTTGGGCTGGGGCTGGGGCTGGGACTGGGCCTGGCATGAGGAGGGACTTCCCCTCTGCAGGAGGGACAGTTCTGAGTTCCAAGTTCCTCACAGATCATTCCAGGTTCCTAAGCCCAACTAGGGGCCCAAATATTTGGAACCATTCAACCATTCACCTCTCTGCACTGAGCTGCCCCCGGCCAGTTCTGACAGTGAGTCAGTGAGTCCCCCCAGCCCTGGCCCATCTGTGGGCCAGTTTTCCACAGAGCGTTTGGGAACCAGGTGGCAGAGGTGGGGTGGGGTGATGGATCCTGTTTCTAGGTCAGTGCATACCACTGGCACCCTGCTTCACAGCCCCTGGGGCTATCCATGGACCCACACTTAGTGACTGCAGGTGACAGATCCCTCACACCACTGTCCTAGATTGTATGACATTCAGAAATCATGGCCATGGTCTCGCAGATGGGAGGCCACATCTGGTCCCTTCCTGTACCTTCCTCAGCCCTCTGGGAAAGGCAGGGAGGGCATGGCTTTCTTGCTGCGGCCTGTGGTTCTGACATGTGCAGGGTGGTGACCAGCTCCTTTGGGTCAAGGGAACTGCATCCTCTGGCTCCACTCTTGGCCTTTCAGGAGACCATGTCTCTTACCAGAACATAGGAGTGCTGGTGGCACAAGGTGGCTGCTGGCAAGAAAGGGGCTATGGGACCAATGGGAGCATCAGAGGAAGCCAGCCCAGTTACTCTGGGGTCTTGGGCACATGTGGTGCCTTAGGGAAAATGTGGGCACCATGAGGCAGTGGGTCTGTATCATAGCTGCATCCCCAGTCAGTGTGCAATGCAGTGGCTGGAACTTAGGAGGTGCACAGTAATGGCTATTGAGTGAATGGATGGAAGAACAGGTGGGTGGGTGAGTGGGTGGATGGATGGATGGATGGTGTGTGGGTGGATGGATGGTGGATGGCTAGATGGTAGATGAATGGGTGGTGGTTGGGTGGATGGTATCTAGGTAGATTGATGGATAGGTGGATGGATGGAAGGATGGATGCTGGTGGGATAGATGATAGAATGATAGTGAGGAGAAGGATGGTGGATGAATGGATGGTGGGTGGGTGGATGGATGGATTGTTGGTAGATGGTGGAAGTGTGGATGAATGGATGATGGGAGGTGGATGGATGGAGATGGTGGAAAGGTGGATGGATGATAGATAGGTAGATGGTGGATGAATGGATGGTGGTTGGATGGATGGTGAATGGATGGATGGTGGACAGGTAGATAGATGGGTAGATGGATGGATAGTGGATGGATGGTGAGTGGATGGTAGGTGGATAGTGAGTAAGTGGATGGATGGTTGGTGGGTGGGTGGGTGGTGGAAGGATGGGTAGATGGATGGTAGAATGATAGTGAGTGGATGGATGGTAAATGAGTGAATGGAAGGATGGATGAATGAATGGATGGGTGGATGAATGGATGGATGGTTGAGTGGATGGATAGGTGGGTGGATGAGTGGATGGACTAATGCATAGATGGGTGAGTAGATGGATGAATGAGTAGGTGGATGAATGAATGGATAGATGGAAGGATGAGTGGATGGATGGGTGGATGGGTGGATAGATGGGTAGATGGTTGGATGGACCAGCTTACCTTGAGTGGCTTTTGTGAGTGGCAGCTTCCAGGGAAGAAGTCTGTCCCTGAGGACAAACTCCTGTTGAAGTTCAGCCTGGGATGCTGTCTGCTTCCGGGCATCAGGCTGGGTCTCCTAGGACTCCACGTGAGTGTCCTATGTGCTGCTTGTTCATGAGCTTCTGTCTTTTTCCAGGGTGACATCCAGCAGCTGCTGTTTGTCTCAGACCACCGGGCAGCTTATGATTACTGCGAGCACTACAGCCCTGACTGTGACACTGCAGTTCCCGACACCCCGCAGTCACAGGACCCCAATCCAGATGAATACGTGAGTTGGCTCTGGCTGGGTTCATGGTGGAGGCATGGGCAGTCCCCTTGGTGTGGACTGGGGCCTGGCAGGCAGGGTAATTGGAGAGGGACACACAAGCCATGGGCGCCTGCATTTAAATAAACCTGCTACTGAGTAAGAGTCCAAGTGGCCAGGCGAGAATTGTGAGGATTATGGGATGTCTGGCTCAGCTCACTGCACAGGGCTCCCCTTGGGGATGGGGTGGCAGAAGCTGTCATCAGTGACCATTGCTTCGCCCTTTCACCTCTGCTCCTCCATGAGAGAGGCCAGGTGTCTCTCACCTTCCGGCTCATGACCTCCGGGGGGTGGGGGGGTGGTGTTTGTGTGCAGAGATGCTGTAGTGCCCCCATGGACTCACAATCTGGGGGGGGGGTCTGTAGCTCCCCAAGAGGACAGAGCTTAGGGGTATCCACCGTGGAGTAAGGTGGCTGCCCTCTGACCCAGGCGTGGCAGTTATGTGTCTGACCCTTCTGTAGCTGTGGATTGGCCTTCTTTATCCACCTGCCCCTACTCCAGCAGTGCCTGGTTCTGCCACCTCTTAATGAAAATCCTCTCCCACCCCCCACCACAGTCAAATTTGACTCTTACTTTTGTTAAATAATACTAAATTCTGCTGCTTATTTATTCTGGGGGTTCTTTTACCATCAGTCAGAGGGAAAGTTGGGTGGCTTTCATGAAGGTCCAGAGTCTCACACCTGGGCCACATCTCACAGACTCCAACCACAGGGCTGGATTCAGTTTCCTGCTGAGTTCCTGCTACTCAGGAACTCCAGGTTCTGAGGATGGGACTTCTCTGTCCCAGAGAGGGTTTGTGGCTTGGTGCTGTGGGCCAGGGAGCCCTGTGGCAGCTGTAAGGCCAGGCGAAGCCCACCATGCGCTTGTTTGCCCTGGCTCTGGCCTCCAAAGGGTGCACTGTCCCCACCGTTAGTTAGGGTTTAACTTTCTCTGACTTCTGATCATGGGGGCTTTTCTTCTGGCAGGCTGGCTCAGCTTCCCAAGGGGGCTAGGAAGGGAAGAACCCCTCCTCCCCGACCCAGGGACCCATGGCAGGATTGGGTGGTGTGCTCTTCCCAGCCAAGTGGGAGGGTGGAGGGTCCAGGCAGGCTGGGCTCTCACAGGGCCTGCTCCCTCCTCATGTGGCTGAAATTTACTTTCAGTACCCGGAAGGGGATGGCGAGGGAGAGACCTATTACTACGAATATCCCTACTACGAAGACACGGATGACCTGGGCAAGGAGCCCACCCCCACCAAGAAGCCTGTGGAAGCTGCGAGAGAAACCACCGAGATCCCTGAGGTCTGGGCTGCTCCTAGGCCCCAAGGCCGTGCTGCAGGGAAGGGGAGGCTGGAAGAGGCCGGGCTCAGCCGGCAGGGTGGGAGGCGGTCAGGGCCGGCTGGAGATTAGGTGGGATGCCCGAGCTTGTACTCACAGGGAGTGTCGGGCTTCCTCCTCGAGGGATGTCTGGTGATGGAAGGTGTGCTGGAATGTGTTCCCAGCCTTGAGGGGGCCCCGGGATGAGTCTGGGTCTTGGGGTCCTCAACTGTAGGTATAGCTGAGGCACAAGAGGGGCTCAGGGACTCCCTGCTGGGTCATGGCGTGGCCTGAGGGTTGGTCTGAAGGTCGCCCTCTCTGTGCTGCTATCGCCTGAGCTCTGAAGCATTGGAGTGCCTGAGGGATGCACCCAACAATGCCTGGCACAGAGTAGCAAGGGTGCTGGAGGGTGCTGGGGCAGGGAGGCCGTATGTCCTGGGCAGCTCCTGCCAGCCCTCAGGAGGGTGGGGCGTATGTGTGAGCAGTAGTGAGTGTGTGTCCATGTATCTTCTGGAGAGAGTGCCTGGTCATCCATGTTGCTGGAAGAGCCAAGAATGTTCTGTACTTTGGTTTTTTAAATTTCAATATGTGATTCCCCCATTTCCTGTGTGGAACTAGGCGGCCTCAGCCCATTCCCAGCTCTCAGTGACTGGCTGGCAGGCTGGGCTGTCCCCTTCCACCTGCCTGGGTGGAGGGAAGCCACCTTGTCCCTGGGTCTACAGGCCTATTGACCAGCCTGTAGCCCTGGCTTTGCTACCTGCTCTCAGGCTCAGAGATGCTTGTGCCTGGGTGTAGGAAGCCCCAGATTTCAGCCATGCCCCTACCACGGCCCTGACCCTGAGTCTGCCCCTGGCACCCAGGAGCTGACCCTGCCCCCCACCGAGGCTGCCCCCATACCTGAGACCAGTGAAAGGGCTGGGAAGGAAGAGGACCCGGAAATTGGGGCCTACGACTACATACCCAGCGAGGACTACTACACGCCTTCCCCTTATGAGGATCTCAGCTACGGCGAGGGCATGGAGAACCCCGACCAGCCCACCGACCCCAGTGCGGGGGCCGAGGTGCCCACCAGCACTGTCCACACCTCCAACGGCTCCAATGTAATTTCTTCCCTTCTGGTTGGCTTGGTCCAGGGAGGGCTGGGTCAGGATCCCAAACTGCTTCCTCTCTCTGTTCCGCCTGGGGTGTCCATGAGTGGCCTCTATGTCCCCATGTCTGCCAGCCCTGGCCTTTGGCTCTTTGCAGCTGGACTATATTAGTGCACACCCGGGTATGCCACGGCTGAGCAAGTTGGGGGTCTCTGATGTGCTGAGTTGTCTCACCTGCAAAGTGGACAGTCTTAGGTTTGGGGGGGGGACTGCATGAGGAGGGCCTGTGGCCAGGGAGCTGTCTGGCTGGATAGGTTTGTGAGCCAGGATCTCAGCAAACAGATCTGACCGTGAGGCAGGGTAGTAGGAGTCACTGGGCCGTCCAATCAGGAAGACTGGCCTGGATCCCGCCTGTGACCTTGGAGAGTTACCTCCTCTATAAATCTTGGGGTGCCCATTTACAACGTGGCACTGATAATGCCTGCCTCCAGGGGTGGTGGGGTTTTCAGACCAGAGAGAAGTCTTGTACAGCACACAGCTCCTGACAAGTGTGTAGAGAGAGCACTCACAGGATGCTGAAGCTGTCAGTGCCAGAGAGGACGCCCGGTTCCAAGGGGTCCAAGCCCCTGCTCCTATGGACATGGGACGAGGCCTGTGCTATCTTGAGACTTGGAAGCCCTGGGTGTGTGGTGTAGCTGGCGTGGGGTGTCATGGTGCCTTGGGGAGGTTTGGGGCTGATGGATCCCCCTACATGTGTAAAGAAACTGTTGGGGCTGTGGGACTCACCCCACAGTTTGGATCCCATGCTCCAGTTGTGTGGCCTTGAAGCCCTGTGGGTGCTAGACCTGGAGCCCTCGGAGGAGGTGTCTGTCCAGTTCACCTGGTGTCAGTGGGGCTGGGCGGGGTGCCTCTCCTGGGTGACCTTGCTGCTCCCTCCTATCCCCTGCAGCCAGCTCCATCTCCAGGGGAAGGAAGGGATGACTTGGAGGGGGAGTTCACTGAAGAAACCATCAAGAATCTCGACGAAAACTACTATGACCCCTACTATGATCCCACCATCTCCCCATCAGAGATTGGGCCTGGAATGCCGGCGAATCAGGACACCATTTATGAAGGGGTGAGGGGCAGGGCCTGCTCTGGGGCTGGGGGCAGTGAGGGTGGTATGTGTTGTCTCCAAGGCCTTTTCTAAAGAGGCCTCTGTGCTCAGAATTGGATCAGGAGTGGTTTGTGTGTGGAGGCCCACTGTCTGATCCGTTCACGGCCTGGTCATTCCTTTGTGAGGTCTCTGGGGACCTGCCCTCTGTCGCACTCACCCTGGTCCTCCTGGGCCTGGGGGAGGAGGCCCAGCTGTGAGAAGCATCCTGGCTTTGTGTCACACAGACCTTCCTTTTCACTTTCTCTCCATCATTCTCTCTCTCTATTTTATCACCCTCAGATTGGAGGACCTCGGGGAGAGAAAGGTCAGAAGGGAGAGCCAGCGATCATTGAGCCGGTAAGGAACTGTACTTGCCCTTCCCTGGGACAGGGGCATGTAGGGGTGACCAGGTCCGTGGGTGCCCTGTACCTCCACACACTGGCCACTTCGAGGAACCTCCTGACCTCACGACCTGCACACTCTGCTTGTTGCTGAGATTCATGAAGAGCCCCAGGTGGGGGAATGTTCTAGACCTTGAGGGAGGAGTTGGGGTATGCACTGACCTGGAGCTCTCGGAGGAGGTGGCCTGGACCCAGTGCGGGTGTCTCATGGTGTGTCAGTTTTACCTGGGACACTGCTCAGTTATGTTTTAGAGGGAAGCCGAGGAGGGTTAGCAGGTGGTGGGTGTCTGCACAGCCGTGAGAGTCTGGGGTGTGGCATGGTGGAGGGATAGTTAGTTCTGCCTCTCCATGTCTATTATGCAACTATTTGGAATAAGTTTCCCCAAGCTGTTGAAACATGTAAGGCTGTTTATGAAGCCTTGTCAAGGGAATGAAATAAAACAGCATTGGGCTGAAATTCCCGCTGAGCAAACCCACTGTGCTGGGTAACGGGATCGTGGGTGAGATGATCATGTCAGGGACAGTCACATTCCAGATGCCCCTCCAGGGTCAGTGGGGTTGGTGGGGCCCCTCTCTGTGCTGGGATGCCCTTATCCCTCAGGGAGCCCTAAGGTCTCAGAGGTGCCGAGGACAGGGGCTTGAAATCCCTCATGCAAGATGCACCATGGTGGGGACAGTGGCATGGCTGGGGAGTGGCTCCAACCTGAGCCCGGGAGGAGCTGGACACTTCTGTCTACTCCGCCATGTTGTCCAGGCACCCGGGGAGGAGGTGAACATCCTGCTTCATGACTGGACTCGAGGCTCGAGCTGGGCTGTTGCTTCTGCTGCCGGGATTAGGCTCCCAGGGGCCTGTGACTTTGCAGCCCCTGCCATGGAGCTTTGAATGCATTATATTTGCTCTGGTCCTAATGAACTGAGTGGCCCTCGGGCTGTAGGCATGGGGGTCACAGGGTTTCTGCTGCTAGGCCCCACCAAAGTGGGTGGTGGGCAAGAGTTGGCCAGAGGAGGGGCTGAGGAAGTGGAGGTGGTCCAGCACAGAGTCCACATCTCCAGAAAATCCATTTCCTTGTGTGTTAGGGAAAATGCCGAGCCATCTGCGTGCAGTTAAGGAAAGGCCCCCCTACCTCAAAGCCTGGTGTTTGCTTCTTCCCAGCCACCAGCCCATTTGGAGTATCATGAGGCCTCTGGCCACTTCCCTGGAGAGATCATATAAATAGTTGAAATTTCTCAACCTGGAGCATTGCCAGATGCCCTCAGAGCCTTAGACACACAGTAGCAGACGGCCAAGTCCTGGGAGACATCCCAGCGCTCTCCCGAGGTTGGGGGCCAGACCTCTCCTGTCCTCTTGCACCTGTCCACACGACCTCCTCCCAGTGATGTGTCTGTACCACGCATGTGCCTGGCTACTTCCCACTCCCATGCAGCAGCTTCTCATTTGCCGGCAAGACCAGAGGCTCCTTGAAAGGACAAGAATCCACTTAGCTGAGTACAGACGATTTACCATTTTATATATATATGTATATATATATTTTTTTTTTGAGACAGAATCTTGCTCTGTCACCTTGGTAGAGTGCTATGACATCACAGCTCACAGCAACCTCTAGCTCTTGGGCTTAGGCAATTCTCTTACCTCACCCTCCCAAGTATCTGGGACTCCAGGCGCCCGCCACAACCCCTGGCTATTTTTTGTTGCAGTTGTCATTGTTGTCTGGCTGGCCCGGGCCGGGTTCAAACCTGCCATCCTTGGTGTATGTGGCTGGCACCATAACCACTGTGCTATGGGGCAGAGCCTCTGTTAAAGTTTTTTTTTCTTTCTTTTTTTTTTTTTACCCTCCTCAGTAGAGTGCCATGGCATCACAGCTCACCAGCTCACCAGCTCACAGCAACCTCCAGCTCTTGGGCTGGCCAGCTCTTGCCTCAGCCTTCCGAGAAGCTGAGACTATAGGCGCCCGTCATAACACCTGGCTATTTTTTGTTGCAGTTTGGCTGGGGCCGGGTTCGGACCCGCCACCCTCGGTATATGGGGCCAGCGCCCTACTCCCTGAGCCACAGGCACCGCCCGTCATATCCTTTTTTATACTCTTTGTGGCAGGAGCTCCTGAGGTCTCTCTTGGCAAATGGCCAGTGCGTGATGCAATATTGTTAACTAGAATGAAGCCCTTCTGAGCATTCTGTTCCCCTGGTGAGCTTTGAGACTGGCAGGGATGAGGGGCTGGGTTGGTGTGTCAAACGGGCCACCACTCTGCCCAGGAAGGTTCAGGAATCCCCTGCTCTGTGCTTCCCATGCCCACCTGGAGTGGTCTGCCGCTGGCTGTCCCGTGAGATCCCACCCAGCCTTGCCCCAGTTCCTGGAGAACAAGGGCTCAAGTGTCTGGGAAGGCAGCTGCAGTCCCCCAGGCCCTGCATAGCCAGGGGCTTCTCACTTAATCCCAGCTCATCTTCTGAGCCTTCTCAGCTGCCGTTGTCAGAGAGGAAATGGGAAAGCTGGAGTTGAGGAAGCTGCTGGCTGAACTCCCTGTGTACATCACATGCACAAATATTTCTCCAAATGTACATCTGTATAAACACGGCGTACATCTTCCCAGCAACCGGGGAGCCCTGTGGGCAGGATGGGGGTGCTGGGGAGCTCTGCAGCCCCCTGACTGGGTGTCCCTTCACTGGCTTGGTGCCCAGCACCTGCGGTGACTGGCCTGCTGGCAGCCTGCACTCCTCTGGCCAGGTAAATCCTTTCACTCTTGGGAAGTGTGTTATCTTAGGCTGTTTAGTGCTGCTATAAGAGAATACCACAGACTGGGCAATTTATAACCAACAGAAAGGTCCTTGAGACTGGGAAGTCCCAGATTAAGGGCTTTACATGGTCAGGGCCCCTGTGCAGCCCATCACATGGCCAAAGGCATCATGTGGGTCAGGCAGAGAGAAGGCGGCTTGCACCTTCCAGACCAGCAGCCAGAGCTACCCCTGGGTCACAGAGCTGTGGCTGGGCAGGCTGAGGGTGCCGCGTTAGGATTTGGGGAGCAGTGAGCAGCCCCTTGAGGTGGTGAAGGGTGGCAAACGCTGCTGTCTGACCACCTCTCTGGAGACTTTGCCCCCAGCTTGCCCTCCAGCTTGCCTAGAAGACCTCTGAAGGGCCCTCCTTGCTCCTGTCTTTTTGGTAAATGCCCCCCGCCCCACTACTGTCCATCAGTTCTAATCTCTTTAACAAACTATTGGTTGACCACACCCTTGCTTCACTGTTCCTAAAGATGCCTTTTACTCTTCTCGTGGCCAGGCTGAAACTCTTTCAAATCCTGAAGTTCTGTTTCCTTTTTAATTACAAATTCCACCTTTAAATCATTTCTCTCTGTTTGCATCTGACTAAATGTGGTTAAAAGAAGGCTCCCTCTCCATTAATACAGTGCTCAGGAATTTCTTCTGCCAGAAAGCCCAGTTCATGGCTTTAACATTCTGCCGTCCGTACAGCCCTAGGGCATGGATACAATTCAGCCAAGTTCTTTGTTGATTTATAACAGGGACGGCCTTTCTTTCCTCCAGCTTCCTCTAAGATACGCCTCATTTCCGCCCAGGACCTCATCACAATAGCCTTTACCGTCTGTATGTCGGCCAACATTCTGATCATGACCACTTAAGTCATCTCTAAGATGTTCCAGACTTTCCCTGAAGCCCCCTCTTCTGAGGCCTCCCCAGAATCGCCCTTCAGGCTCCCTTTTCCACAGCACAGACTTTTTGGACTCTGCTTCTCCAAGCTCTTCCAGCCCTTGCCCATTGCCCAGTTCCAGAGCTGCTGCAGCATTTTCAGATATTTGTTAGAACAACAGCCCTGCTTCTTGGTACCAATCTTCCAGCATCCTTTTTGTGCTGCTATAACAATCCTATGGGCTAGGTAATTGAAAATGAACAGAAGTTTATTGGCTCACAGTTCTGGAGGCCGGAAGTCTAGGAGCCCAGTGTGGGCATTTGGCCAGGGCCTCTGTGCCACATTGTGACGCCGCAGAAGGCAGTGGGGAGGGAGGAACTCATCCTTTTATATTGAACCCTCTCCCACATTAATGGCATCAGTCCATTCAAGAAGGCAGAGCCTTTATGGCCTGAACACCTCTTAAAGGTTTCACCTGTCCACCCTGCTGCATTGGGGATTAAGTTTCCAACACGTGAGCTTTGAGGGCCACGTTTGAACCATGGCACCTGTCCAAGTTCCACAAAAAGACTACTTTCTTGCAAAGCAAAGTCCAGGGCACAGCGGCATCGATCATCACCAAAGGCAGCCATTCACGCATCCCTTTGTTCTGGAGGAAGAGGAGGCAGGGAGATCTACCCCAGGACAGGTGCCCTCTCGCCCTGTTCTGCGGTCACTAGAACAAGCAGGTAGGAGGATCACGGTTCATTGCCTGCACGTGACTAGACCATGCAGTATGCAGGACAGTCTGCCTGGCAGGCTTTGGCAGAAATGTGTGGTCCCAGGACCCCCAGGGACCGTCCTTGCTGCCTTCTCAGTGTGCAGAGCCTGTGGGGGTGGGATCCCTTCCCTCCTGGAAGGGAACGCTTTGCCTCAGATCCCCCTGAGGTGAGTGGGAACACGGATGCCATGCGAGGCACTGGGGGTGCCTGACCCTGGTGAGTGAGAGAGAAGTGAAGAAAAGAGTCCTGCCCCAGGAAGGGGGGCTGGGACGGGGGGTGCCACAGCAGGAAGTGCCTCCTGGGCCAGGTGGCTCAGTCCAGCAGGGAGCTGCAGCTCATTCCTGCCACTGCCCACATCATTGCCTTTCCCAGAGCTCTCCCAGAGCTCAGGTAACCAAGGGGGCTGGACGCTCTGTCTCCATTTAGGGTGAGAGTGAGTGAGGCCAGGGCCTTGAGGCAGGTGGGCCTTGGCTGGTAAGGCGAGTGGCTGGGGAGGAAGGGCTGCTGAGTGTCCAGATGAACGTGCCGGGTTTTCTGTGTGCTCTGGGCTTCTGCTGTGGGTGTGGGAGGAAGCATTCATCACCCGAGGGAGGGTCGGCTGGAGGCCACAGCACTGGGATGGTAGTTGTCCTGGCCAGGACAGAGGTCCAGCCTGGGGCTCTCAATGCCTCTCTCCCACCTGAGTCCTGTGTCCTGGGGTCCTCAGGTGGCTGCGGGCACGTCCCCTTGGGCAGACTGGGTGTTCTGGTGGTCTGGGTCCCTCTCCCTCATCTTGGCATCTTCAGGTGCTTCTCTGGTGCTGCCCTCACGGGAAGCCTGTCTGTCCCTGGGGATGGATCAGGGCTGGTGTTCTGCCTTGGAATGCCAGGAGGACAGTCACTGCAGTCCCCAGAACTGCTGCCATTGGAGATTCTGCTGCCCATGACCCCACAGGGGTCTCAGAGACCCTCTCTCTGTCTCTGTGGCCAGGAGCATGGGCCTGTCTCAGACGCCCTCTCTCTGTCTCTGTGGCTGGGAGGGTGGGCCTGTCTCAGATGCCCTCTTTCTGTCTCTGTGGCTGGGGTCTGAGCTGGGGGGGGTGGGCCTGCCTCAGAGACCCTCTCTCTGTCTCCATGGCTGGGAGGGTGGGCCTGTCTCAGGTGCCCTCTCTCTGTCTCTTCCAGGGCATGCTCATTGAGGGACCGCCTGGCCCAGAAGGCCCTGCTGTGAGTATCAAGCGTTATTTCCCATGACTTGTGGGAGGCATTCTTGGGAGGAAGGGTTGGTGATACCACTTAAATCTGGGTGGAAAAGAAGGGGCATTGCCTCTGTTGCAGACACCCAGGAGCCCAGGGCTTCCGTGGCCCCTGCCTTTACCCTGGGTGAGCGGGGTCAGGGTGGGGCTTTGCCTGTCCTGTGTCTTTGACCCTTGCTTGGCTTTATTTTTAATTCTAGGGTCTTCCTGGACCCCCAGGAACTACTGGTCCCGTTGGCCAAGTTGGTGACCCTGGAGAAAGGGTAAGAGATTGACTAGGTCCCTGAGATCACATCTGTGTGGGGTTATCGTGCCTTCTCCCTGCTCTGTGGCCCAGTTTGTCCCTGAGAGTGGAAGTGACGGTGGGCACATTGATTTCCTTCTTCAAACTGCCCCTCACCAGGTGCCCCTAAGTCAGTCCCTCTGCAGATATTCACGGAGAATTGTCTGTCCCTCGGCCCTGTGCCGGGCAGGCAATTCGGGAGGATTATGTCCAGCAGGTCCCTGGAGGCCACCAGTGGTCAGCTGGCAATAGGGCCCCAGGGCTCTGCATTAGCTGGTCAGGCAATGGCAATGGTGGCTGCAGAGCCCTGGGCTGTTGCTGGGCCTCACCTGGTGCAGCCCCATGGCACGGGATCAGCATTGTCCCTCTGCTGTGAGAGAACTTCCCTGGCCTTGTTTCCTCCCCCTCCTGGTCCTGGGTCAGAGGACCTGGGGCTGCAGCCCTGCCAGCCGCAATTTCCTTGTGACACCTGGCGGGCACCCTGGAGTACTACAGCCTGTGGGCTCCTGTCTGGGTTTATCTTTCCTCCTTTTGATTTTCTTGCTGTCCTGATGAATGTCAGTCTGAGCACAATAGCATGAGGGCTGATGAATAGAGGACTACGGCATAGGTGACAGAAACAAGGCGTGTGTGTGACTCTTAGTGGGTGTTTTTCCTCATGACCAGGCCCACTTCCTGCAGCAGAGTGTGAACCTGCAGGTGTCTGCAGGGGTGGATGGAGGGCTGGGTCAGGTCACTCGGGAGGTGGTGTGCAACATCAAAGTCCCATGGCTAGGGACTCTTCAGAATTTGTTTGGGGGTGTCTTGTGTGAGTGCCTAGAGGCTTTGCAGCATTGCTCAGAGTGGTGAGCTAGGACACCCTGGGGCCCCCGGAAAGACTGGGACTGGTTCTGGGAGAGTAGTCACGGCCATGGACCTCGAGGTGTCCTGCTCCTCTGCAGTGCCAGAGTTGAGGAGGGGCCTGAGCCATCGCCCCATCCAGTCTCCCTCATTTGATAGATGGGTGGGCTGGCAGGGCTTGCAAGGGCCCTCAGGGCGATGGAGGTGCATCCAGGGTTGAGCCCAGATCTCCTGGTGCCCACTCTTACTCTCAGGCTCAGAAGAAAGCCAAAGACAGAGCCAGGTGTCCCTTACCTAGTCCCTCTCCAGCATCGATTCCCCCAGGGTCTTGTTTCTGTGCCACTTGCCGGTGTGTTTCCAGAGGTGTCCGGCTCTTCCTGGCTTCCCAGATATTGTTGACAGACCTCAGTGGGTCTGAAATAATTGGGGCTGTGTACTTGTGAGTGGCATTTGAGCATTTCCAATAATCCCATAGTGACGGTGTCCTGTCCCTATGGAATGCTGATCAGTGTCTCTTCTTCAGAGCCCTGCCCTGGGGACCTTAGGCAGCTGGGTGCTGGCAGTGAAGATCAAGTGGGTCCTTCCATCCATAGACTCCCAGGGCCCACACCTGCTGGCCTCACCAGAAGGGGCCAGAAGCCAGGGACTGGCTCAGCGCTGCTTGCTGGCGTCCTCCACGCTGGGTAGTGTGTGTCCTAGATCAGCCTAGCACTGTTTCTACCAGAGAAATTTTACATGTGTTCAGAACATCTTTGAGGGTGTCCTCCTCCCCCGTGCATCCCTCAAGTGTGCATGTGTTTTAAGGTAGCTCAGTGAGCAAAGTCTGATTTGACTACTTTTTAAGCTATGGCTAAAAAACTAAATCTCAGCAGTCAACTGGATAGTGTAAAGTTTTTGTTTAGAAATAAGCTTATGTATCTTGTAAGTGACCCCGGGAGCTCCAGCTGTTGCAGCTGGCCTCTGCAAGCTGTTGCTCTCGGGTCGACTTTGCACAGACTTTCCATTTGCAGGACATTTATTCTGTTGGTTAAAGAGGTATCTGTGGCCTTGGGTCTATGAGTGGCTTCCTGGAGGCCTGCATTGGCCTCTGGAAAGCCTCCTAGGCTTTCTTCCCGGATACCTCAGGGACAGAATGGAGGCTGTGTCCCAGGGTGTTCCTTCAGCTCTTTGCGCTGGGGAGCCTCCCTCCCTGTGTAGTTGAGAAACATTGAATGCCCTGGGCGGAGGCCCACACCTGCCCATGACCCCACTGTGTGCAGAAGCAGCCTGCTACCCTGCTCCGCTTGACCAGCTGTCCTCCCATCTGCAGGGGCTCCAACCTCTGGCCCTCCTTTCCATGTTTCCAGGCTTAGGCTCGGATTTTGCTTGAGTGCATTTTCTGTGCCTTGAGAGGGTTTATAAGAGTAGCAGTCATTGTCCCCCAGCTGGAAAGCTGGACTTATGGGTGCCCAGGAGGTGCTGTGCCACGTCCCTGGGACCAGCCTTGGTGCTCCCAGCAGTACAGCTCCTGCTGTACTGTTACTGTCACCCTGCTGGATTCATGCCCAGGGTGGGGTCAGGTGGAGGGACGCAGGCCTGCTCACTGGCAAAGTGACAGAGAGGGTGAGTCCATGGCCGGACGTGTGGTTGCTGTCCAGCATGGGGGATTAGCTTCGAGAAGAGCCATGGTGAGGCAGGCAGGCAGCGAGGGGTTCCTTGCCCTTCTGTCTCCCAGCCTTCTGGGGATAGGATATGCAGACCCAGTCTTTCCTTGTACCCAGAAAGTGTTTGGAGCATCTTGACGGAGTTTCTCAGAGAGGCTCACGCATGTGCACCCACGGTCTGGGGTCATTCCAACATGATGGCCCTGTAGGGAAGTGGCCGCAGGCTGGGCACCACCATCCCCAGCAGCCTGGCCTGGCTGAGATGAGGTTCACCCTTCAGGGTCCGGCACTGGGGCCATGTAGCACTTAGGAATCACATCATTGCCCCCTGTTCAGTGTCATGAAAATGGAAACATAACTTCGAGATGTAGCTCCATCCAGCCCAGGGGACAGTCCTCCTGTGAGATACCACAGTGCTTGGCTCCATC